TGATAATTTACATTAGAGTAATATTGTACAAACTTATGTCATATATAGTTGAACAATTTCGTTACGAAGCCATCACGACTTATGGAGTTATTCATTTTTATTCACAAATAGTATATTGATATGTATCCTACAGTAAATATACTTTGAACAGATGCCAATACATTAAATGATAAATGACTTAATGAGAAAACTAACCGAAAGCTCCATAGAATTTCTGAATTTATTTGCAAACACTCATACAAGTTCATTAATTCAATTCTACCCGTCAACACATTTTCTACCGTTGGTCAACACATACATATACACACACACCGTTGGTCCAATGATAAATTATCTGATAATTACACAGCGGCCACGAGTAAATTATAATATACCACTTTTGGGCACACTCAACTACTGTGCTGACTATGAATATTGAGCAGTGAAACTCTAAATTTAATCAAACGCTTAAACAAACTCTCAAATCTCTCCTCAATAACATGAACAATTAAACCCATCTCTCTCAACTTCATCTGCAACCCCTCGATTTCCGAGCTTTCGCATTTCGACACCCGATAACCGACCACTTTACGCAATGCATCATCGAAATCTCTAAATTCAAGATTCATACTTTTGAAATATTGTTCGTCCGGTTTTTTCCTTGATTTTACGAGCTTCGAAACAAGCAACCAATCGCTCGGTCTCGAATAATGTCTCTTTACACCGGCCACGCTTGACAACAAAGATTCGAACAATTCGAGCGTTATAAGCTCGGTTTTTTCTAGCATGCTAATGATGGCAATGGTTTCCTGAAGATCTTTGCCCTGTGCCGAAACAGAGGACTTATTCTTGAAAGTGCCGAATTTTTTCAGCAAAGTTCGTATCTTCTTCTTGATTGAGTTTCTTGAGGTGATCACGAACTCGAAAAGATTATTGGCCGAGTCTCGTTTTCGCCTAAGCGCGAAAGTGAGGCTTGAAATGCATTCTTTCGAAAGTGAGAGTAAATCTTTCGTCGTGGCACAAATGTCGACGAGGTTGAGATAACCGTCCAAGATTTTGCCGGCCCGTTTATCGACTCGGGCGAAAAGTAGGCTCGTGTGGGGCAAAAGGAGTAAATCGTCCACACAATCGTATAACTTGTCGAGGTTTTGTAATTGTGTGGCGATCAACGGTAGAGAAGTCGAGGAGACTGAATCGAGATTGGATTTTAACGCGTTGAAATGCACGTCGAATAGAGGGATTAGAGGGTGTGATTTCGAGGGCAAGGTAGATGAACGGGCGCGGCTAAGGATTTTGGACCTCAAAGGAGTTGAAATAATCATGTTTGGTTTGTGGGAAAATGAATTGAGGTTTTGTGGGTTTTAGGATAATTGTTTCGATTTTTTTTTTATCTTTTTTTCTTTGTGGGTATTTGTGTGTATATATATATGAATGGGGAGATATGGAATCTTTATAGTGAATTTCTTTTAATGCTTTGATATGGACGTGAGATACTGTCGGGCAAGTACATCTCACGTCTTCAATTTCCAACTTTGTTTGCAACATGAATATATAATATTAAGAAGAGGTGTATTTTTTTTTTTTTTGGTACAGTGACCTTCTGGTTTCCGAATTCACAGGGGAATCGACTAATCCGAAATCGAGCCGGGTAAGACCACAAGGGCGGCAAAATTCCCCCTCAAGAGTTTTAAAAAAGAGGTGTAAATTTAAATGCAAATAGAGGAGCCTGTAATTTTAAATGCCTCATTTGTTTGTGTTTAATCACTCACACTTTAGATTTAAAGTTTTTTTCTACACATATAACACTACTTGATGTGAACCAACTTCAATGCGTTATAATGTCTCATATTCAACAAACAGTTAGATCGTGTCGAATTCTATCCTTATAGTGAAAACGAGATCGGGTTGAACGACTCTGGATTCACCCTCGACCGGTAAAGGACCTGCAAAATAACGCAGGTAGGGAGTTGTCTCGATGTAGAAGCTCTGACACTCAAGTCAGAGAATTGTAATCAAGAAAACGATGAACAAAATGAATTGTATATAGTTGTAGGTATATTATGGTGTGTATGGCGTAAATGATCATACATCAATTCCCTTTTATAACCTCAGGATAATCCTCAACTAAACGTCAAGGCGCTATCGCATTAGTTGAAAGAGCGACTATCCGGGCCCCCGCGTCGGCACTGAGAGCCCCCGCCTCTATGAATCGAAACGGTCGATTCCACCGATTTGGATCGAAAAAAAGACTATGTTACCTTGCTGTCCAAGATTGTCCGGTTGGGTTGCTCGAGCGAACATTCGCGAACGAAAATAAGC